ACTGTAACCTTAAACTCTTAGTATCAAGTCATCCTCCTACTCTGTCCTCTCAAAATGCTGATATTACAGGTGTGAGTCACTGTGCCCGGCCTACTATTCTTACTTTATCCAGCCTACTATTCCTACTTTATCCAAACCCTACAAGCAGTTTCGTCCATCAGATACTAAAGTCCGGCCTACCAGTAAAATTTCTCTTAATCACTTTCTGAAAAATCAAACATTTACTAAAATCAAATAAGCAAGCCCCTTTTTTTCCTAAAACTACGAATTTTCAATTAAAAAAGTATAGGATTTTCATTTCTTTACAAATCATAGAGCAGAAAAATTTCTCCAGGATTTATACTGAGATTTCTGACATCTGTGACCACAAAAGATATAAAACCGCCACATGGGAAAAAGACAGGTCTCTCAACCTCATGCAAAGAGTAATTAATGTTTTTAAAGCAGAGTGACCATACATGTGAAACATACATCATACAGTTATACAAACTAAATTATTTTCTAACTTGGCATAATGACAGGGTAACTGGGAGGGAATATAAAAGAAAATACTCAAGAGCTTAAAATTAACAATGGGCCCATTTATTCGAGGTAGGACAGCTCTCTCATTACAACCTGAGAAGACTGAAAGTCATTCTGTCTTCCTCTAAGAGGGAAACTGCAGCTGGCAGTTCTGGAGAATCACTCAACTATATTCACAGCTTTACTTGGAGTCAAGCAATGGCAAGAAAAGTCTTCGTCTTCATGATGCATTGGACAACATGGACAAAATGCTGACTTTGAGATGTTTAAATTTCATCCTTGGAGGATCAGTTCCATTAACTTCTCCTGAAGGAAACCAACACCCACAAACAAAAGATTTAAACCCAATGAAACTGAGAAACACTTACCAGAATCTGTCATTTCATAGAATATTGTCTTATGACAGGTCTTATGACATGGTCTAGTTCTATAGCACTGTGCTTATTTCTTTTCCATCCAACCTTTGTACTCCCCACTTTGTATCTTCTTCAATGGCTTCTAGGAAGTATTACTATTAACTACCTAATCAATGAATTCACAGCAAAGTGTTTCACAATTCTGTCTTTCTCTGTTCTGTGTTAGACTCCCAAACAGGGCTCCATCATCCAAACAATGGTAAGTTTCTTCTGCTTTCCAAATCCAATTAAAATTCTGTCTAAGCTTGTAAAAATTTATCCTCCCCTAACTCTTGAGAATCAAAGTCATTGTTATTTAGATATTAAAAAGTTCGAAGCAATTCTTATCTCTTAAAGAAACATCTAAAATGTGTTTACAGAGAACTGGGAGATCCTCTTCAGGTAAACCAAATATTGACAATGAAGAAAAGAGCTCAAATATAATGAGAAAGTAACACACAGCAGAGTATTTCAACTTTAGGATATAACAATTTAAAAGATGTTACTCACAAATGTATTATCTTTCTTATCATTCCATCATGAAGAGTATCAACTGGCCAAAATATACCCTTGAATTATACAAGCCTCCTATTTCATGTTATAAAATATACTGGCAAAAACCAACAAACCCACAGTGCTACAATGAAACCTATCCTCACATTCCACGGCTTTAGGGCAACTCCATAAACACAGGGTCATAGTAAGACAGCCTGCAAACTTATGTAGCCGGAAATTAAATGACATGTGATCATGCAGCTACAGAAACCTAAGGCTCTTTTTAAAAAGCTGGCAGGAACTGACAATCTTATCTTAGAAATTCACCCATAAAACAGTATGCAAAATTCATACAATACAGATGACGAAGAAATTTTAGTACAGTGTTAAACTGTTACAGCTTGTATGCTTTAGGATACAAGTTGTATTCAGAATATTCACATGCTGATACAATAAAATCTAAAGAAAACGAAATGTTCAAGTCCCTGCTAGTGGCTTACTTATCTCAAAATACAATTCAGTACTCCAGAGCTCCAATGTTATAAAGGAATGTAAATGACCCTTTGGAGTTCAACATAATAATACCTAATCAGAGGGAGAACTGTATAATTTTGAACTCTAAAGATGCAGATTCCCAGCTAAGTACAAACTTTGGACTTTTTTTTCTTTCTTAATTTCAGTGGACAATAAGTAAAAAACAAACAAACAAAAAATCCCATAACTGCTATGTTCCCTACAACTATGGGGGTTAAATATTTAATGTTTCAAATCTCTAAATAGTTTTCTTTCTTTTTAAAGTTTATGATATTATTATAAAACATAATTGAGGGACTGTCAGGCCTTGCTAGGAATTTCATATGCATTATTAAAGTAAGTGAATCATTAAATTACATGTTTTAAGCATGGTTTCAGGTTTTAATTGTTTCTTGATACTATTAATTAAAGAACCCGATGACTAGTAATATCCCAGTAATTTTACATAATTAGGGCAGAAAAAGTATAACTAAAGAACTAATTAAGATGAAAGTAAGTTAAAAATTTACAAGATTAACAATCTTACCACAATATAAATTAGTTATTAAACACAAACCTTTATTAGGCAATGTTACTAGGCATATTTAAACCACACAAGGGGTTAAAAATAACTACAATGAAAGGCCAAGAGCCTAGCAGCCCAATTGAGCCAACATTCCCTTCTCTCCTCCCCCTCCCCTTCCAATCCTCTCCAGTCCAGAATGAATTGCATGCCCCACTGCACAAGGCCCAAAAAGGTCACAGTAGATGGCAGAGACTTTTGTAAGAGAACAGAAATAACTCAGCAGCTTTGTTACCATAGTCTCTTTTAATCAGTATGTTCAAAATCCTTTAATTAGCACTCTGTCTACACAAGGAAAGCATTTCTTTGGTGCCAGGGGAGGGCACATATGTATGTACACAGTGTTCTGTTGTATCAGCATCACAACATGGAGCTAGTACCTCAAACTGTCTGCCAGGAAAGTGAAGCACAGGAAACTTTTTTAAAGGCACAGTACCACAAAATTCACCTACAAACTCTATTTGCATTTCTATTACCACACAACAAAATGATATTTAAGTTCGGCTCATTTAGGTGTCAATTTGTTTCTGAACTTTTTTCAGCAAAAAAATAAGCATTTAAACTAAATAATGACTTTCTTCAGATAATTAATGTAGAATATTTAAAATATAAAGTGCTAACAAAACATAAAAACCAGTAATACTCAAGGATTGCTCCTGTTCTCATAACAAGCTTGTCAGTAGAAGAAATAAAATACCAGCTCCCTCAAACAGGAATAAATCACATGACACATCTTCACATGGATGCTTTACATTTAAAATTTCATCCAACCATGAAAGGTATCAAAACTTGCAGGCTGGATTACATATAAATCTAATTATAAAATCAAACTCAAATCAAGGCAGAAATTGGTAAATTAAAGATAACTTTAAAAAAATCAACAGCCAAGAAGCAAAGGAAACTCCATTAGTAAAATGAGATTTGCAATATTTTAATAAGGATATTTAGGTGTTATAAACTTACTCTTAACCTTTCAAAAGTTGGACAAGCATATAAGATGTCAAGTATGTATACATATATATGTTAATAATATACATGTATGTATAATGTATATATTTGGTTAATACACATGGATGTATACATGTATATATATATATATATATATATATGTATACATCCATGTGTATTATTAACCAAAATGACAATCTTCTAAATATCTGATTAAAGAAACAAACTAACTAAATATAATGTAAAGTGAATTATTAAAGAGGCAGCATAGCGTAACTGTTGGAAAGCCAGCTCTTCCATACAAGCCATGTGAGCTCATAGCAGTTATATACAGTGGGAATAATACCACTATTTTGGAGGTTGATATGAGAATTAAATGAGATGACACATTCACAGCACTTGGTAAAAATCCAAAAGTTTCTTGGTAAGATAGTATTTTCACGCATTGCACAAAAGTGTAAATTGGCACAACCTTTCAAAATGACACAGGTATATATATTCACATATATATATATTTATATTTGGTATTCACTGCACCACTGTTTTTAACAGTAATATGGAAATGACACAAATACCCTTCAGAACGAGACTAGTTAAATGTCACTTTCCCTATGAAAGAAAATTATACAATTGTTTAAAAAAAAAAAAAACTTCCTTATATATTAATAGACAATGTTCTCCAGGGTAAACCGTTGAGAAAAAAGCAAAGTATAAAATAGTGTGTATTATATGCTACCATTTGAGTAAAGGAGGGATGGAAATTCATATTTATTTGAATATGCAAAGAGAATCTTTTAGAAATTTATGTAAGTAATTAACAGTAATAATTACCTACTGATGATGAAAGTGAAATAGTACCTTACGTATAGTTAAACCTCAATAAATAGAAGCTGTAATTACTTCTCTCATCAGTGCTATCATCATCACCATCATGAAAACATAGCCTTAAAATATACACACAGAATACATTCAAATTAAATCTTTAATGAGGTAAAAAGCCAAATCTCAATTATTCATAGCCTAACTATCTAGTTGGAGCTCCAACCCCTTCATTTCCTCTTCAAGGGTAATTAGCTTTTGGCCATCTTACTGCTGGCTATCGCCTCCACCAGAAAGTGAGCTGAGGAAATAATTCCAAAACCATCATTTTATTCCATTTTGACCAACAATTTTTAATAAACAACTTTTAAAACTGACAGGATTAAAATCCCATAGCACAACGTTCTAAAATTATATATAACAAAACTAATAATCAGAGAATTTCCCCAATTAGGGACAGTTCAAAAATTTACAGTCTGTCGCTAAGTGGTTTTTCCATTTTATTATTGATAACATGGGGGAAAAAAGAAAAGTTAAATTGAAATCAGTTATCCTTGCTAAATCCACTCTTCTCATCCTTTATTATAGATAAGCAAATTTGCCAAGATCAAATCCCAGGAGCAATGATAGTAAGTAAAGGATAGGTCAACAGAGAATTAAACAACTCAGCCCGGGGACTAAGCACTGAATCAACATCTATAATAAAATCTGTAAAGTTTACTTACACTAGAAATTGTCAGAGGCATGTTGAAATCCTTGCCGCCTTGCAGCCTGAAACCCCAAGGAGCTGGGCCAACCAGTGACACACTGTAGTTGCTCATGGTTCTAAATGGCTCAAAGTCCAATGACAGAAAATGAAAGATGCTGTGAAAGATAATTAGATGATCAGCAAAAATGTTGACTTGAAACTCTACTACATAAATTACGTTTAGTATTTTGTTTTGGGGGCTGAGAGGATATAGAGAGTAAGTCTAAATTAAGTTCTTCATTAATTTCAGTTTAAGAAAAGCAATCTGTGGCCAGGTGCGGTGGCCCACACTTGTAATCCCAGTACTTTGGGAAGCTGAGTTGGATCACCTGAGGTCAGGAGTTCAAGACTGGGCTGGCCAACATGGTGAATTTTGTATTTTCTTTTTTTTTTTTTTTTTTTTTTTTGAGACGGAGTTTCGCTCTTGTTACCCAGGCTGGAGTGCAATGGCGTGATCTCGGCTCACCGCAACCTCCACCTTCTGGGTTCAGGCAATTCTCCTGCCTCAGCCTCCTGAGTAGCTGGGATTACAGGCACGCGCCACAATGCCCAGCTAATTTTTTGCACCTTTAGTAGAGACGGGGTTTCACCATGTTGACCAGGATGGTCTCGATCTCTTGACCTCGTGATCCACCCGCCTTGGCCTCCCAAAGTGCTGGGATTACAGGCTTGAGCCACCGCGCCCGGCCGAATTTTGTATTTTCTATTAAAAATACAAAAATTAACCAGGCGTGGTGGTAGACACCTATAATCCTACCTACTGAGGAGGCTAAGGCGGGAGAATCGCTTGAAACCAGGAGGTGGAGGTTGCAGTGAGCTGAGATTCAGCCACTGCACTCCAGCCTGGATGCCAAGAGTGAAACTCCATCTCAATAAAAAAGGCAATCTGTCAGCTAATATAAATTTTCTACACTCATGGCAATTTCCATGGTCTAAAAATTCCATATCCGAATACACTTCTAGACACTTAATCTGTTTTACAACTTGCTACAATCCAATTTGTGGCTTCTTGGATACAAATTTTAACTCAAAGTACTTCACAACACTTCACTAATGTATATAAGAAAGAGCAAGATTTTATTTCAGATTGAATTCAAAATAATTTTCTCCTTCCCTCCACTTCATGTATTCTTTTGTCTGCCATTGGCAAGAGTCTTTCAATTGCACTTACTTAAATTCTAAGTTACTCTGACATGTGAAAGAGCCTGCAAATCAGTAGGCTCCCATTTGTGCTTTCCAAATACTTAATTCTTTAAAATGAGAAGCTGTTTTTCAATGCATAAAACTATTCTCTCCGATCATGAACTACAACTTGTATTTTCTCTTACAGGGACACGGTATTTTCCACACTTAAAGTGATATCTGTTTTTCCTTCAGATAGTCAATGATAGGCAATACTCTAGTACAGTGACAGGTTAGTCACAACCTGCTTTTTGTTTTATACACACACCTCACCAGGCAGAGAGTAAGCATTTGCCACTCAGTGAAAAAGTTTATCACTAAATATGGTAGAAGTGCAGGGTTAACCTTAATGCATTCAAATGAAACTGGCAATTCAGAAAAGAACCAGTGCTTCAATACTGTCTTTTGTCTGTTTTGCTTTAAGTGTGCAAGTAAAGACTCTCATAGTAGTACTTTCATATAATTTTTAAAAAGAAAAAAAAGTCTGATTTTGAGTTTCCTATTGGCTGTTATAGTGGCAGGAGAGATAGAGAGGAATGGAGTTTTGTTTTGTTTTGTTTCGTTTTGTTTTTTTTTTTTTAGACGGAGTCTCACTCTGTTGTCAGGCTGGAGTGCAGTGGTACAATATTGGCTCATTGCAACCTCCACACCTCCCGAGTTCAAGCAATTCTACTGCCTCAGCCTCCTGAGTAGCTGGGACTACAGGGGCACACCACCACACCCAGCTAATTTTTGTATTTTTAGTAGAGATGGGGTTTCAGCATGTTGGCCAGGATAATCTCGACCTCTTGACCTTGTGATCCACCTGTCTCAGCCTCCCAAAGTGCTGGGATTACAAGCATGAGCCATCGCACCCGCCAGAGTTTTTTTGTTATTTTTTAAATGGAATACTAAGAAACAATAGTTCTCTCTTTAAAAAAAATATTAAAAACATAGCATATGTGATTTTATAATTTTTAAAACATACTTCTTTGGAAAATCTAAGCTATTCAACCAAATCACCACCTAATATTACCTGTTTTTAAAATGTTTTTTAATCCATTCAAAATTTCTACCCCATCAGCCTAAATTATAGTCGCAGCTGTAGATATTTGAACCATAGGTACATTTAAATCAAACATTCCTTCTTCTCATAAAGGGAAAATGGGGTAAAACATTCAAATAGGCCTGGTTTTTAAGGAAAAACTGTATCAGGGAAAATAAAAAATTATAGAAAATTGTATCAGAAACCAAAAGAGCTTTTCTACTGGCATGGTAGTATACTGAACTACTAGGCAATAACCCATTACTTCAGTATTGAAGTAACAAGCACAGAGCACTAAAAAAGATCCAAAGGCCAAGCCAGAAGTCAAACTGTATACATAGGTGAAAAACTACTAGCAGGAAGTTAATAATGAGCCACACATAATTCAATTGCTTTCCCACTGAAAAAAAAGAGATTTTCAGAAAACGAATAGAGGGACTGTCCTGTTATTGACACAATACAAATCAGAAGGGTGTAAAGCCAACTGATATTTCACAGGCGGCCTACCCTCCTTTATTAATCTTTAACTTGTGTCTGGGGAAGAATATGAAAGTTAGGCTCAATTTCCTCTGGCCCCATTCTTCTCTACGAGAAAATGTATTTCATTTAGATTATCAACCCATGGACATGTCACGTCCCTTTATTTGGGGATTCCCTTCCTAACTTCTCCTTTGTTATCAAAATTCCTAGCACTGGCAAGGTCACAGCCACACTACAAAACCAGTGTCATTTCATTTCGAGTCACTGTCGGTTCATTTCTAGATGCTGCTTCTGCTAGCTTTATTTGGAATTCATTTGCCTTAAAACAGTCTGTGCCCCAAGCAATGGCAATATTTTTATTGGCCTTTCCAAGTCTCCTCCATCTGGTTATTAGTGCCCAAACCCTTCCTCAAATACCAAGCAGGCAGGAAATAGCATACTCTGCTTTCAAACTCGTAGAAAAAGTTGGAATTTTTGTACAGTTGTGGATTTTCTTTTGGGGAATGTCTAAACGATGTCTTTGCTCTAATACTAGGGAAGGAAGCTTGGTATTTCCCACACTTGTCTCAGCTTCTTCAGTGGGTGAAAGTAGGGGGCGGGAAGAGAACTCAAGATGAACTAACTACACAGATGACAAAAAAGGCCTGAAATTCAAGAGAACTATCCTGAGAATCTCTTTCTCCGCAATAGAGAGAGAACGTAGGTAGAGCTGAAGAACCAAAGCCACAGGCACAGGATGAAAGCAGCCGACCCGACAGTTTTCCAGGCGAGATTCACGCCTAGCCCTGTTTGCCAAATAAGGCTCCCGAGCAGGCCGTTTCCGTGGCAGGCGGGTTCAGACGTCCTCCCCGTCAGGAAGGCGGACTTGGGATAGGATCCGGAGATCACACCCTAGACGTGCCCTGCCCAGCGCAGCCACGAATTTTCTTTCCAAGCTCTGCCCTGTCCACACGCCCTTCCTTTTTCCACTTATTGTAAAACGCACGGAAGGCACAGTCTTAGAAAAGCCCAAACAAGTACTCCAGCGTGAGCCAATCTGGTGTTCGTGACAGATGTGATTCTTAAACGAGCTTTAATTTCTGGACGCGCAGAAGTTTCCCCCAAACAGGTCACACAAAACTGTAAATACGTGGGAGAGAAAGAAATGCTTCTCAGTAGCCTGAGAGCAAAGAAACACTAACGCGCCTTCTCACTTGAGTCCCGCTTCCCCCCACAACCCAAGAACCTGGCGCGGGACGGGCACCCCGACGCCACGGCGGTGCCCCGGCGACGCCGGCAGCCGGGCGGGTGGGAGGCGCAGTGCCCGGGAGCGCGTCCGCGCCGGCCCTCGCCCCTGGGCGCCCTCCCACGTCCGGGTCTCCGCTACGCCGGTCCGGCTCGGCCCGGGCTGCGGGGGCTCCAGGGCTCGCCCTCCGGCCTCACGCGGACTCCCGCGCCGCCCTTTCCCGGGCGCTCCTCTCCCCAAGCTGCTCTCCCACCTCGGCAGGTCCGCGCCCAGAAAGCACCTGAGGAGCAGACCCGGCGCGAGGAGCGCCCCGTCCTCATCCGCAGCCCGGCTTCCCTCCTCGCGCTCAGCGCCAGGCGGCCGCTTCTTTCCCTCCTCCCTCCCGGAGATCCGAGAGGCGCATTGCCGGCCGGCCGCCACTCACCTCGGGTCCGGCGCGGCGCTGCCTCCGCCTCAGACGAGGGCTGACAAGTGACTCGCCTAGCGGGCGCCGTCCCCACGGCCCGCGGGAACTTCCGCCTCCTGGCTGTCCCTCGCCCCGCCCCCGGCCCGGGCCACGCCCCTCCGCGCTGGGCCACGCCTCCGGGCCGGTCCCAGCCACGCCTCCGGGCCGGTCCCAGCCCAGCCGCGGCCTCGGCGCGCGGGCTTGCTGGGGCTGGCTCGAGCAACCGGGGAAAGACAATGACGCTACCACCGAGTTTCGGTAGGAGTTGTCTTAGCGGATTTTGAGCGCTACTGGGCAAAGGTCTAACGCTCCTCGCGTCCGTTTTGTACTGGGTGCATTTCTCTCTCCAGAAATTTGAATTGGCAAGCGGTTGCTCTGCCTAAAAATTGAAAGAGACTTTGGATAAATCTCTATCCAAGTTCAGCAGTTACTGCCTGGGTTTTTTTTGTTTGTTTGTTTGTTTGTTTTTTGAAAGAGCTTTCTATGTCTGAAAAGTGCAGACCCGGAAGTTTACCTGTCAGGAAGGTAACCCTAACAGGTAGAAGTTAACCCTGTCCATCGCACCAGAAGACAGTGATAGAAAACAGCGGCCAAAAGTGATTCAACCACTGTATGTTCCGTTTATTTTTCTAAGTCCAAATCAATAGTCCACTTTCCAGCTCCTACACGGTTGCTTGATATGCCCGAGGAATTTTATTCATAAGAAAACGTGAATAATATTCAGTGAACATACGGAAGGCAACTAGACTCTTACACTGTGCATTGGCTTATAAAATGTGAAAAGGACAATTCTTAACAAGGGGCATATAAAGCAAGGATGAACTTCTCATGAGGTCCGTGAACCCCTGCCCCCTACAAGTGCAAGCAGAATTCTAAAGGCGAAGATCCAAAGCTGCTCTTTCCCTAACGGTAGCCACTGGCCACATGTGGCTATTGAACAGTTGAAATCTGGCTACCATGACTGAGACCATGAATTTTTTGTTTTACATAATTTTAATTTAACATTTAAAACTGAAGCAGGATAACATTTCTTTTAAGCACTACATTTAAGGACTAAAATGAAGTGAAATGTAGGACTACAGTTTAAAATGTAATGCCCAAATTGAAATATGTGGGAAATGTAAAATGCACACTGGATTTCAAAGACTTGGCATGAAAAAATAATGTAAAATGCCTCAATAATTTTTATATTGATTATATGCTGAAATCATCATATTTTATGTTTGGTTAAATAATATGTGATTATAGCCAGGCGCGGTGGCTTATGCCTGTAATCCCAGCACTTTGTGAGGCCGAGGCAGGCAGATCACCTTAGGTTAGCAGTTCCATTCCAGCATGGCCAACATGGTGAAACCTGACTCTATTAAAAATACAAAAATTAGCCGAGCATGGTGGCGCATGCTTGTAATCTGAGTGTCCTGGGAGGCTGAGGCAGGAGAATCACTTGAACATGGGAGGCAGAGGTTGCAGTGAGCCGAGATGATGCCACTGCACTCCAGCCAGGGCTACAAAGCAAGACTCCATCTCAAAAAATATATATAATAATATATGATTAAAATTAATTTCACCTTTTTTAAAATGTGGCTACTAGATAATTTAAAATTACTTATGTGAGCAGGGTGCAGTGGCTCACACCTACAATCCCAGCACTTTGGGAGGCTCAGGTGAGAGGAATGGCTTGAGGCCAGCAGTTTGAGATTACCATGGGCAACATATAGCAAGACCCATCTCTACAAAAAATTCAAAAAATTAACTGGGCGTGGTGGTATACACCTGTCATCCCAGGTTCCGGCTATCCATATTGCTGAGTCCAGGAGTTTGAGGCTGCAGTCATCTACGATCGTGCCTTCATACTGCAGCCTGGGTGACAAAGCAAGACTGTCTTTAAAAAATAAATAAATAAAATTACATTGTGCTTTACATTACATTTTCATCCGGCAGCACCAGTCCATAGCTTTTGTCACATTTTTCAAAAGATGGTTTTGGGGGAAAGTGTTTCCTAGTGTGAGAGTTGGTTTAGAGAGTCTAATATATGTTATCATGTTTGACATCTCACACAAAAATAAAAATAATAGCTACCACTTACAAATACCTACCATGTGCTATGCAGTGTGGTAGTCCTTACAATAACTTTATAAAATGAATGCCATCCCCATGTATAGATAATAAAATTTAGGTTGCAAGCGATTACAGCTTGTGCCATGGCTTGAGGTAACCCATAGGAGTCCCAACTCTGCCCCTCCTCATCTGTTTGCTGTTGATACAGTTAAATTGAGCCTGGATCAACAAAGATTAATTTAAAGACATCAACTGCAGATAGCCTATGGAGTTATCACCAGAGGATAAGCCTCTTGAGGTGATGAGGAAGAGCTGAGAGTGGGCAGACTGTTGCTCACTTATGCAAATTCCACTTTACCCCACAATTGCTAGCCTGTCTCTGAACTTCCTCCTCCTACTGCAGTTTAAATCCTGGGCTTTGGATTAAATTAACCAAATTAAGATGTCTTGCATAGACTGACCTTTTATCCAAGTGTTCTCGAAAGGACCAATTGCATCAAAATGACATGGACAACTTGTTAAAGTTGCGTTTTCCTGGGTCCCCTCTGGACCCAGAATCCTTGCAGGTGAACCCTTGGACTCTTTTTAACAAACACTCCCTCCTCACCTCCAGGTAATTATTAAACTGCAATGCTTAAAAACTACTTCTCTAGAGATAATGCTATGTCTCCAATTTACTGCGAACTGTGTTCAGGTGAGAACCATGCATTCCAGATAGCAGCAATTTATCTCAGTTTTCTCATCTTAAAGGAAATGATAAGTGTAAATAACGTTGTGAGATTGTCATGAGGAATAGAGATAATATACATCAAAGACTATACATCATGCTTGGCACCAAGTAAGGATTAAATTCATGGTAGCCATATGAAAACTTTCCTAACCAATTAATTAGATTTATTTACGTATCATAAAAAAACAAGTTGAGAACTTTGACATTCATTTTGCATCTACTATATTCTTAGTGGCCTATGTACATTATTCTACTTAATTCTTACAACCATATAGAGTAGATTTTTTTTCAGAGGAAGAAATAGAAACTTGGAGATTAAGAAATTTAACCAAGGGCACACAACTGATCATAGATGGTAGTAGAGCAAAAAGTCTGATTCCAAAAACCATGTTATTTTCATCACAACACACTGTCTCTTGGTAAATTCAGTAAGCCATCCAGCTCAAAGACCAGAGAAAGATACAATGCTTTAGAAACTAACACTACTGAGGGCCACAGAGGTGTAATCCACAGCAAATTATGGAAATAAAATAACTGCTGAGTAATTTGTATGTAAGGGAAGATGAAACTCCTGAGCCACTTCCAAGAGGGCATGTGCCTTAACTTGTTTTATAATGAATTGCTATGGGGCCATTCTGACTCCCCTTGTCTGTTTCCCTCATAACTAACATTTATGAAATGGTTGACCATGGTTTGAAGGACAGTCTGTGACTACAGACGATCACAAGTTACTGGTCCATTAGGAAATCAAACCAATGTCCTTGGCCTCATTAACTCTACAGGGCTAAGTAATGAGGCACTGACCACAAAGAAAACCATATTAAAAGCTTTATTTTATCATAACCAGGGAAAGAAAACCTAGAAGAGTCCGGGTGTCAGGGGTGGGGAGGTGTTAGGGAGATCAAAACATTAACTTACTTAGCCGAAAGAGTTGTTTTTTTTTTTTTTCTTAGCTGGAAGAGTTTTTAAGAATATTCCATCTAAATACAGTATTTACCTAAGCACATAAATGTTTTCTCTAACGTTTTATTATCCACTGTATGAGTCAGAACCTCTTGTAGCACTTCAAAAATAACAGAAACTTAATTACAACATGGCATGGCTGTGACAAGTTTTTACAGTTGCACCCAATAAACTATAAAGTGCCAGTCTTTTAAAAGTTCCTATGTTACTGAGTCTATTTATCTTTTAAGTCCTAATCCTGGAAGGTAAATAAACCACTCATGAGCATTTAAAGTTTAAAATCTAGAATGGAAAGGAAGCATTAACTCTTCTAATAACTAAAGAAACATTTAGTAACTTAGGGAGAAAAGATAGAAGGCACAGTGTCATTCTAAAGTTTACCAAAGAATCCTGGGAGAAGGGCAGAACTAAATCAGGCATGGAGAGAGTGGGAAGGAATAACGGATGGAAAGACTGTAAGAGCAGATCCATTAGGGTAACCGAGTAAATGTGTAATTGAGGAAGACGGCAAAGTTTAAACTAGCCTCAGCGATTCAAGTCTCGATTTGGTGGGTGGTATTCATAACTGATACTGATTGAATGAAGAGGAGCAAATAACTATGCATTTTACTGGCACTTTCTAGTAAGAAAAAAAAAGGCAATGGTTGGTTAGTGAGGGGTATAAATAAGAAGGATAGATAGGATGGACACTGGGAAAAGGTATTAGGAAGCCCCAGACTTGAGATTTCCAAAGTGGAGGAATATTCCTCATGATAAGATCAAGGTTCAGTCAGTCTGATTTTTTTTTTTTTTTTTTTTTTTTTTTTTTTGAGACGGAGTTTCGCTCTTGTTACCCAGGCTGGAGTGCAATGGCGCAATCTCGGCTCACCGCAACCTCCACCTCCTGGGTTCAGGCAATTCTCCTGCCTCAGCCTCCTGAGTAGCTGGGATTACAGGCACGCGCCACCATGCCCAGCTAATTTTTTTTTTTGTATTTTTAGTAGAGACGGGGTTTCACCATGTTGACCAGGATGGTCTCGATCTCTCGACCTCGTGATCCACCCGCCTCGGCCTCCCAAAGTGCTGGGATTACAGGCTTGAGCCACCGCACCCGGCCCAGTCTGATGTTTTACTCAGATAAAGTCAGTTCATTGAGGAGTCTAGTGAATGGCTGAGTTGATGGAGAATACATGGGAGCAATTGTGGAGATGAGATGGACATGTGGGTTCAATAATTGTAAAAATTTGGTATATGAAGATGTTACAGTAGTCTCTTCCTTATCTTCAGAAGATACATTTCAGACCCCCAGTAGATACCTGAAACCAGAATCACACCTAACCCTACATATACTATGTATGAATTTCTTTTTCCTTCACAATTTCATGGATT